ATAAATCACCGCAAATTTTGCATAAAGAAAATCCGCCGATCGTTGGCACACAGAAGATAATCTGGCCATTCTGGTCCCCAAGCAAGTAAATCCCCCTCGAGGACTTTCACATATCCGTACAGGAAACCCAGACATTTGTGAAGAACCAAATTTGAAATCTTTTAGTCGCACATGAGTAGAGGACACTCCCTTACAATCCCAGCCTTTTTTATTACCGAGCTAACGATTTTCTCGCCAAAATTTCCACATGCCTGTACGTGAAGTCGGACGGCCCGGCCCTGAGGAGCTGAATTTGAAATCTTTTGATCACACATGATTAAGGAGCATCCCTTCAAAATTTCAGCTTTCTAGCTTTTTTCGTCCCTCGAGTTAGCGATTTTCGCGCCAACATTTTCACATGTTCGTAACTGGGACGTAGATGTGCATGACAGTTGATATCACGTTCGCACTTGACCAGGAAAACATTGGCAAAATTTCAGCATCAAAGCTTGCTGAGCAGAAATATCCGGACAGATAAACACGCACACACATACACAGACGTTGCGAGCGTGGTGGACGCCTGTTGCAGCACTCTAGTGCTGCACGGCAAAAACACATAAACAGCAGTCTTGTTGTTTTAAGCTTCATCCATATGCATAATTCACAGACTCATTTACTGTTTATTTCAATAAATAAAGAAAGAACAAAGAGAGTGCAAAAATTAACAAGAGCAACATGAAAAGGGGGAAATCGCCACACAAAAATCAATTTTCAGAGATATTACATCCAAAAAAGAAACACCTCAGCTCGCTACTTCGCAATTTTTTGTGAAAAAAAAAACAAGAGCTGGAACACTAACAACGTCTTCCCTTAATGAGTCCCAAACTTTCGCTAATTTGGATGAAATCTCATGCAAAAAAACACTTTTCTCTTGAATCTGTGCTACATTTGAAGCCAGTACCGATTCTCGACAAAAGGTCTCTTTCTATGCCGAGCCATATGATCAGAATTATCCAATACTACTTGCTGAAGGCAATCACGTACGAATGCGAAACGTGGTCACTGACGAAAGCTGAAAAGCCAGCACTGGCTGTGATGGCGAAAACAGTAAATGTTTAAGCATATCTCTTCGTGACTGCGTAAACAGCCACATCTTTCGTCAGGTGAGCAAAGTAGTGACTACTTCCTCGTCAGTTATTGCAATCAAATGAGAAAGTAAAATTCGATAAGCAGGGGAAGTTATTCTACCCGCGCACAACCAGTCAACACCATGTACTAATGAAAAATACTCGAAAGAATAATAAACGACCAACTGAAGGACTTTCAAAATAGTGGCGCAAATACATCAAACGGGTCGTGGAGGTGCTAACTAAAGAAAGCAATTCAGGATCAAAAACCTGGCGTAATTATGCACCCGGCACGCCGTGGTGTCCCACTAAAACCATTAAAACAGAATCTTAATACGAAGCCGATCGTCTAGGCGGTCCAGGCAAATTTGGTTAAATCAGTAATAAGGAACCCGCTACTTCGCTAATTTTTTTTAAAAAAAAACCCGTTCACTACGCATACAAGTATACAGATTACACATACAACGCATACAGAGACGATTATACCACATCATATAACAAGCGCACTTCGTACAAAACAACCAAAATTCTTAAAATAAATCGTAATAAAAAAGACCAGTTCGGATGAAAAAAAAAAAAAACTATACAAACAAGTTCAATTTCCTCGGTAACGGTAGAACTGATCGTGTACTGGTTTATTTTCAACCGGCGCTAAAACTCCTTTTCCAAAATTATTTCGAAAAACAGTTAAAAATGGAAGATCGGTTTTTTTATCAGCTGGTTCGAACTGTCAGCCCCAGTTACTATTATTAAATTTTCCTTACATTCTCTTTAACTCCTCTTTACTTTTTCTACATTCTTTATCTACCATTAAAGTCATCTTCCCAGCCCGGTTTCAATCATAGGCGGATTCAGGACATGCCCCCGGAGGGGCAGAAAGAGGAAAATGGGGCTCCTAAGAGAACGGGGAGGGGAAAGGGAGGGGAAAGAGCAACGGGGGATGCAGTAGAGAATTTTGTTCAGTTTTAGCTTTAGACAGCACTTTTGTAACACTGATGAATCTGCCGCTGGAAGGGAGGGGCGAAACACCCATCGCCCCCTCTCCCTATATTCGTCTATGGTTCCAATGTCTGAACTGCATTTCCCCTTTACTAAACAGCGGTAAACGAGATGTACTGATGATCCCCACACCTACTTGCTGTAAGAATTTTGTCTGTGTTTACAGCTAAGGGATGAAACATGGAACTGAAATAGAATCTGTTTATCACTACATGAAATTCTTTGGTTCGTTAACTCTCTCCCGAACGGGAGCCACTGATTGTTACACTAAGCTGACATATGTAGTGAGACAAAAGTTCGCACTACGAAAAGAAATATGTAGATTGTCGAACACTGCTCAAATC